ACCTGAGGTTCCCTGGGCACAGCATCTCATTTCCTGCCTGGGTGCCTTTGAATAGAATACCTGCCTCCTATTCCTGGAATGCTTTCCCCTCTTCCTCCCACTTTTGCAATTCCTGGCTCCCTCCAAGGCTCACCACAAATGTCACCTCCTGCACTGGGCTTTTCCTGACTCTTCATCCCCCTCTGATATTTGTGCTCCCTCTCCCCTCCCATAATTGCTTGTTTTACTTTATATATATTCTGCATTTACTTATGTATGTACTTATGTATGTGCATATTATTTTCTCCCATAAATTTTAAATTCCTTGAGGGCGAGGAACATTTTGTTTTTGTCTGTGTCCCCAGCAGTAAATATGGTGCCTGACACACAGTAGGTGCCTAATAAATGTTAATTGAGTTGAATTGAATTTCAAGTGATGATTAGGAATAGCTTGAGGTCCTTCTCTGCATCCCTTGAGATCTTTGAAGTCTGCTATGAATCCTTTTAGCCATGTTAATAAGTTCTTTGATCTAAATTAAGAATAATAGTTAAATTTAAATAGCATTTGCTATGTAGCAAGCACTGTGCTAAGCACTTTACAATTATTATCTTGTGCCAAGTACTTACAATTTTTATCTCATTTGATCACCCAACAACTCTGGGAGGTAGGTGCTATATTATCCCTATTTTACAAATGAAGAAACTGAGGCAAACAGAGGTTACGTGACTTGCTCAGGGTCACACAGCAAGTAAGTGTCTGAGGTCAGATTTGAACTCAGGTCTTCCTGATTCGAGGTCTAACCAAAGTTTCCATCACAGGGGACTAGTTGTACTGAGCTGTCAAATACATTAAGTGGATCAGTGAACAATGAGTGGGGAAAGATGCTTTTGGGCCACCATTTTCCTCTGGCCTTTAACATGCTGAAAAATGACACATCATGGGATCTCTCTATGGCCAGAAGTCACCTCTGCACCCCAGACAGTGCCAATAGGCAAAACTACACAAGAAGCTGACCAAAGGGACTGTGGCCAGTGTCCCCCTTAAAAAATGGCTTTCCTTGGCTGGCAGCTTCCAGGCAGAGCCTTATTGACCCTGTTTACAGATTATTTATATTACAGATTTATATTATATTTATACTTATAGATTGGCTTATAGCCAAGAAGGATTTGATCTTGGAAGCTCCTACATGGTGTGTGGACAGAGTGCTAGGCCTGGAATCAGGAAGACCCAAGTTCAAATCCTCAGACACCAGCTGTGTGACTTGGGGCAAACCATTTAACCTCAGTTTCCTCATTTGTAAAATAGGGATATTAATAGCACCTACCTCTGGGGGCTTTCGTGAGGATCAACTGAAATAATATTTGTAAAGCATTTAGCAAAGTGTCTGGCACATAGTAAATGCTACAAAAATGCTAACTGTCACTATTAAATCCTCAGACATTTCCTCAAAGTATGTCTCGGTCAGTATCTCTGTGAACCCTTACCTGTCCAAATGTAAGCGTTTCTCCTTAGCTTTTAAAACTCTTCACAACCTGGCCCCAATTTACCTTCCTAGCCTTAGTAAACATTACTTCCTCTAGAGTCTAACCCAGAGGGTCCATTTGCTATTTCTCACACATGACATGACATTCCATTTATCTCTGCACCTTTGCAATGTGGGTTCTCTCCATGCCTGGGTTACACTCTCACCTCTCTCACGTCCACCTCTTGGAATATATTTCTCCCTTCAAAACTCAGCTCAGGGACACACAGGCAAGAACTAAGCTTGGATTGGAGAGCAGGTCTTCTAACTCAAAATCCATCATCCTTCCTGCTTTCCTGTGCTGCTTCTCTGCCTAGGTTGTTGCAAGGCCAGTTTTTAGTTCTTTGAATTTGAGAAGGCTCCCTACAACACAATTTCCTTAAATAGAGGAGAGGCTTATGTGTACGAAGAGGGAAGAAACTTTTTTTTAATATGCTATGGTATTGTTCAAGAGGTGTGTTCTTCAAAACTTGAAAGTCACTTTCCACAGCAGATAGAGCCCTGGAGTTGGAATCCAGAAGACCTGAGTTAAAATCCAGCATCAGATACTGATTAGCTATGTAAACCTGGTTAAGTCACTCTGCCTCAGTTTCCTCATCTGTTAAATAAGGATAAATAATAACACCTAACCCCAAGATCGTTGTGAGAATAGAATCAAATAATTGTAGTTAAGCACTTTGCACATCTTAAAGTGCTATATAAATGCTGGCTATGTCATCATCATTCTTATTATTTCAATATTTTTAAGTCAAAGTGACTTCTTAAGATTTAGTCATGAGTAATATACAATCATAACAGGATTGATATTAAGAACAAATTTAAGGATTTTAAGTTTATTATATTTATTATAAGATTATAAGTTTAAGGATATAAATTTAAAATGATTGAAATGCAAACAAGAAAGGAAAATTTATCTGTAATCTCCTGAAGGGTAAAAGAAAAGATAGAAAGAGAAGGGCTTCATTAGACTTTCAAATTAATATAGCAGGAATATTTGTAGAATTATAGCTCTTTGGTAATGAAGGGAGGCCTCAGTTTCCTAGTCTGTAAAATGAATGAGTTAAACTCAGAGCTGGAGTTGAGCCAGAAGGTGCCTCAGAGACTATTATGATTCCCTATGATTCTCTATGATCTCTCTCAGTTCCCTAGAGGAGGTGAAAAAATGGAGCTGGGTAGAAAGGAGGCCTCTCACTTCTATGACTGAAACTATGTAATTACACGGAAAAGGGAGTTCACTGACCCTAATCCTACTCCCAACTAATTCTAAGGAAATCTTAGGAAGGTCAAGAAACTTTCAGGAAAAAGTTACCCTTATTGTTCTTAGGTGAGTTCTTTCTTCCTGTTCTCCCTGGGCTCCACAGATCAATCTTCTACATATTTTCCATATATTTCCATATATTTCTTCTATATATTTTAGTGATGAGAGTTGAAGCTAGGATTGTATTAGCCTTCTAAGCTCGAATACTTATCTGATTTTTTTTTCCTATGTGTTTGGAGGTCCCATTACTTATCAAAAGCATTTTTGAACATCAGCAAATTGGAGTAAATTTTTGAGGGGTTCTAACCCTTCTTTTTCTATTTTGCCAATGCAATCCCTAAGGTAGACCAGGAAGCAATCAGAATAGGCAAGAAAATAAGTCATGTTGGACAATCTTATTATTCTGTGTTGTACAATCCATTTTGTAAAGTGCTTTCATTTAAGTGTATACTGTAGTGCATTTGGTCTTAAATTTTAACAAAAAAAAAAGTTTTGATGTGGTATAGTGACAGACAGTGTGATATCAATTAATGGAATTTTGGACAAGGGATCAAGAAGATCTAGGTTTGAAACCTGCCTTAGATACTAACTGACTGTGTGACCCTGGGCAAGCCACTTAGTCTCTCCGAGCCTCTATTAGAGTTAGTGACCTCTAAGGTTCCTTCTAATTCTATGATCCTGTGTGTAAACTGGCCCCCAGCCCAAATAAAATCTCCTTTCCTATTCCCTTAAGACTTTTTTGATTATCAACAAGAGAAATCATACTTTATCACTCTCCTTGCATTCTACAAACTAGAGACACTGGTCTACTTGCTGTTCTAACATGAGACCCCCAGATTAAGCTCAAATCCTACCTTCTACAAGAAGCCATCCCCATTCCTCCACTGCTAGTACCTTGCCTACGGGGGATTACTCTCTCTGTCTGTCTAGATAGATAGATAGATAGATGTGTGTATGTATATATATCTAAATATATGTATACACACATGCACATATGTATACATATGTGTGTATATGTGTATGCACACATACATGTATGTATTATATGTCACATATACAATATTATGTTACATTAATATATTATATAATATATAATCTATTTTATAATATGTAATGTTATAAGTGTTATGTAGTATAATTATATAGTATATACTACATCTACTATAATATGTATTCTATATAGTAAATGGGAGGTTTAAATATATATATGTATATACACATACATACATACATGTGAGCAAGCGTGTATGCTTACTTGTTTTCTTGTTTCAATTAGAACATGGGCTTTTTAAGGACAAAGATGTGCTTTTTGGTTTTCTTTGTATTTCCAGGCTCAGCAAAAGGTTTGGTACCTAGTAAGTGCCTAATAGATGCTTGTTGTGGATGATGATAATGATGGTGAAGGCGATGATGAGGCTGCTTTCATAGCTAAGAACAAAAACAATGATAAATAAGACAACTACTATTAAGGGGCTTTCTTTTGTCTTCATCAACCCTCACTTGTTCCTAGCACATAGTGGTGCTTAATGTTTGTAGGATTGAGTGGCAATCCAGAAGGGCTGATAAGAGTCTAGGTATCTGTGTGTAGCCTAGCACAGTCTAATCTGCTGTTGGCATTGTCTGTTGAATGAATTACAGTAAAGATAGAGTACTGTAACCACTGTTCACGCTTCAGCAACAGCTCCTAAGAACCTCTCCTCTGGGGACATTTTGCTGCAGCAGCCGAGCTCCCTGGTGAAGCTCAGTCCCGCTGCAATTTACCTGTGTAATTCCTGTCTTCCTCTGTTCCTGCCACATTTTATAAATACGGCAATAATCATGAATGGCGGGGGGGAGGGGCAGAGAAGGGATGGAAGCTTGGTTGTCACTTCCGTAGAACGTGAGGTCGATCCATCTGTCAAGCAGCTGTTTACCCAGTGAGCCCTTTTCAGATTAGGTCATTTGTCCCGAACTTTCCTGTGATGACTTGGAATAAACTCAGGGCAGAATGAAAGGAGGGACGTTGAAGACCTAAGCTTGAGAAACCTACAGAATTTTGGAAAGTGAGAGGTAGGGAGCAAGGAACTTCCTCTAGAGAGACGACTTGGTAAGCACTTCATGACTGTAGAGGCTGCCTTCAAATGGGGATGTCCCCAGGTCACAGAGCCTGGACTCAACCTAGGGGTGTTCCTGACTCTGAGGCCCACTCTTGCTATCTGTCTGCAGTGCCACCTGGTGTGTGGGTACGTGTGTGCGCCCGCATGCGCGCATGTAAGATTATGTCCACCTTAAAATGGATTTTGCTTTTTAGTCTATTGTATGAACTAAAAGTATGAGAAAAGAAAATCAACTTGGAAGGTGAATTTGTGTACAGATGTATCATTTCTATATAAGTGTGCCTCCTGAATAACATATATACCCCCATATTATATATACATATACACACACATATATGTATTGTGTATGTATGTATGTATGCATTGTGTATATGTATACATAGGTATACAGGTATAAGGACTGGATCTGTGATCTCACTGCTATAGGGAATTTCCTGTAAGGAACTTCTACCATTTCTGGTTGGCACCTTTTCTGCAACTTATAGCTTTAGAGAAATGCCTATATCAATGAGAGGTAAAGTGACATGTCTAGGGCCACACCGCCAGTATGAACCCATATCTTTGTGGCTACAGGGCCAGTTCCCTATACCATGTTGCCTCTTAGCATAACGCCCGCACACACATACATATATACATACATATATATATATAATACACATTATCCACTATTTATGGATTATTGATTAGCATTTTTAGAATTTGTATTTCCCATTAGTAAGCCATGCCCATTCCCATCCCAGGTATGCCTAAAATGCAGCCAACAAGCCCATCCTGGCTGAGTAACAACATTAATACCATTGTCTTCTCTGTGCATTCCATCTGCAGTGGCCTAAACGATCTGATTTTATTTTAACTGCTTGAAGCTTATATTACAGCCATTGCAGATTTCATTTCTAAATCCAAACCATTTCATTCCAGGAACACTGATGACCTTAAATTTATGAGTGGTAAATACTGTTTCTAATAAAATGATAATGAATCACCAGTTTCCATCCAATTTGTAAATAATAGGAATATTTCCCTAACAACAGCCAATTACACCAAAGAAGGAAATCCATTCTATCGAGAACATTTACCCTTCAGCTTTTTTCAATGTCAGAAAACCTCTTAGCTCCGATTATTCCGTCAGCCTCAAGTCAGCAAAGACCACAGAGATTGTTGTTAAATGGTGCAAGGGGAAGAGCCAGAATAATAACCCTAAATGAGATGACGGGCTATCTCAGAAGATGCACAGCCAAGGAACCTAATCTCAGTTCTCTCAAGGTTCACTACTTTGGGCAATTCACAATTGCCCTCTGTGCCTAAGGCTGTGTCAATTCAATGAAATTAAATGCTAGTAGCATTTATTAGGGCAGCTAAGTGGCACAGTGGTTAGAGTATTGAGCCTAGAGTCAGAAAGACTCATCTTTCCAAGTTCAAATCTGGCCTCAGACACTTACTAGCTGTGTGACCCCACGCAAATCACTTAACCCTGTTTGCCTCAGTTCCTCATCTGTAAAATGAGCTGGAGAAGGAAATGGCAAACCACTCCAGCATCTGCCAAGGAAACCCCAAATGGGGTCACAGTGACTGAAACAACTAAACAACAAAAAACATAGCTCTTGTATGTCTGCGCTCACTAAGGTACAACAACCTAATGTAGGGAGGTTGGGAAGGGAAGAGAAGGGAAAAGGGAAAGGAAATGTAACAGCATCAGAGCTGGAAGGGACCTTATAGGCCTTTAAGATTAACTCCCCCTCCTTTTTTTTTTTAAACAGATGAGGAAATTGAGACCCAGAGAGATTAAGTCCTAGGTCACACAGGAAGTAACAGAGTCAAGATAGATTTTCATGGAATGAATTTGGAAACTGTTCCCTCATCACCTCTGACCTGTACCACAATGGATACCTGTATAGTATACAGTAGGTGCTAAATCAAATTGGCTTTTGCCTTTCTTTGTATCCCCAGCACCTAGCTTGCAATAATCGCTTAATAAGTGCTTGTTGAATGACTGACATTGTGTGTGTGCATGTAGGCATTTCTCAAAGTTCCCATTCTTGAAGTTCCAAGACTTTCTAACCAACCAACTTGTCCTTCCATCTCAAGAGCCCGCACACTGGATATTCACATCAGAAGCAACTGACATCATTGCCCTTTGACAAATTTCTCACAAATTCTAGTTGTTTTTAGCTCCATTTTTAGTCTTCATACTTACCATAAACACTCCAAGGGGCTAGTCTGTAAAGCGGGCTGTAGAGGAAAGGGAAGAAGGGGCATTGGGAGGGTGAGATCTATTCCTAGATAATTCAAAGAAAGAACATAGGAAGGACAGAAGGAAGAAGTCAAGAGGGAGAGGAGAAAGCCAATAGAACGGAAGCCAAAAAAACAACTTTAATGTTAACCATAATGGTATTTCAAATGTATAAAGAGGCCAATTATAAGGATGTCAAAATCTACAAATAGAATGTCAGTAAAATGTAAGTCCCTTGAGGACAGAGATGGTTTTGTTTTTGTCTTTGTATCTCCAGAGCCTAACACAGTGTTGCTATTACATAATAGACCCTTATGAAGTGTTGAATTTAACTTATTTTGCCTTCTTAATATTTCTAAGAGTGGGAAGGGGAAAATAATATTCTCCCAATGTTACATTTCAGGGTGTTTCAAAAAGTTTGATTGGTCAACACATAGCCATAATGTTTGCCATTTACAGAGTAAGTCTTGGTTAGCTTTGTTGTTTAGTCATTTTTCAGTCATATCCAAATCTTCATGACCTCATTTGGGATTTTCTTGGCAAAAAACCTGGAGTGATTTGCCATATCCTTCTCCAGTTCATTTTACTGATGAGGAACTGAAGAGAACAGAGTTAAGTGACTTGCCCAAGGTAATATAACTAGTAATTGTCTGAGATGAGATTTGAACTCAGGAAGAGCTGTCTTCCGAACTCCAAGCCCAGAATCCCCTGAACTACCTATCTACCCATCTTGATTAGATTAAATCAATTCAATTCAACAAATATTTGTTAAGCACCCACTACTGCAAACATTGTTTTCTGCTAAGGATACAAAAAAAAAAGAAAGAAAAAGAACAGTCCTTGACTTAAAGGAGCCCCCTGACACAGAGTTAAAGAGAAAAGTTCTATGTACATAATGGGATTCAAAATACTCATCTATACATCTATCTTCTTGAAAAGCTAAAGTATCATAAGATTTAGAATGGTAAAAGGACCTTGGAGATGATTTCATCTGACCTCTTCATGTTTTATAGATGACAAAATGGAACCCCAGATGAATGTTAAAGAGAGCTAGGGATTTCAAGAAATAGAGGTTAGGAGAAAGACCATTCCAGGCAAGGAGGCACATTGTGCTGGAATTTCATCTAAGGGGAACAGCAAGGTGATATGTGCAGTAAAGCAAACAATTCAGACCAATGACTATGACTCCCAAGCCAGTGCTGTTTGCCCCAAGGTAGCAACGAACAGTCAAGGAAAAATAGGTGGAGGTGCTCTCCTGACAGAGTCCTTCTACTCTTTCAAAGAGGAATAAGAAGAATCATTCTAGGCTTTTGAGAGTATGCAAAAATTCTGCAATTAATCCAGCTGAAAAAGTCTTTAGACCTCAACTAAGGTTTCAAAAGACAGCAAGACCTTTTTATTGGAAAAGGCTAAAATAAAACCATAGAATATTAGCTAGATGGGGAATTCAAAATCATCCATTCCAGAGGTTTTTAACTTGGGCTTCACAGACTTTTTTAAAAAAGGGGTTTTTAAAAATAATTATTTCAATATAATTTATTTTCTTTGTAATGTTATATATTCTATTTTGCTAATTTAAAAATATAATTCTGAGAAAAGGGCCATAGACTTCATCAAAATGACAAAGGAGTCCATGACACAAAAAAGTTTAAGAACTGATGATCTAGTCCAACAGAGGACTAAACCAAGGTTGGGGTGGGGAAGGATTTGCCCAAAATCATAGAGCTAATAAACAGAGGATGAAGATATTTTCCTATCACTTAATTTCTTAATTATAAAATAGGGATTGTAGCACCTATTTCAAGGATTGTTATGAGGATCAAATGAGATAACATTTGTGAAATTCTTAGAATAGTATCTGGCACTTAATAAATATTTATTCCCTTCCCTATAAATGTGTGTTCATAATTACATACTTGTATATATGTATGTATGTATATATACATAAACATGTATGTGTTCGTATGTATATAAAATATATATTATATATAATGTATTATGTTATATATTACATTTCTGTTCAATCGTTTTAGTTGTATCTGACTCTTTGTGACCCCTTTTGGGATTTTCTTGGCAAAGATACTGGAGTGGTTTGCTATTTCTTTATTCAGCTCATTTTATAGATGAGGAAGTTGAGGCAAACACAGTTAGGTGATTTGCCCAGGGTCACACAACTAGCAAGTGTTTGAGGCCTGATTTGAATTCAGGAATATGAGTCTTCCTGGCTTTAGGCCTGGTGCTCTATCTACTATGCCACCTAACAGCCACATATTTATATATGTAATATATCACATAATATTCATTTGAATAAATTATGATATATATAATGTATAGGGGTAGGTATAACAATTTCATATGTGTGTGTGTGTGTGTGTGTGTGTGTGTATATATATGTATATATATATGTATATGGTTGGGTACAACACTGAGGAGATCACTCTCCTTCAGGAGAGGGCCTTGGAGCTGAATACTGAAGGAAGTGAGTGATTTTAGGGAGGGAGAACATTCTAGGAATGGAGGACAGGACAGCATCTGTGGAGGCATGGAGGCAGAAGATAGAATGTGTTATAAAGGGAACAGCAAGCAGACCAGTCTGACTGAACTTGAGAGTACACCACTGGGAGTAACATGCAAACCCTCTGGAAAGATACACTACAGACAGATTGTGAAGGACTTTAAATGCCAAAAGTAGAGTTTGTATTTTACGCTAAAGGCAATGGGGAGCTACTGTTTTCAAAATCTCAATTTGGAGGATGGTCTTTTCAAGCCCTTTCACTCCAAGATATGAGACTTCCATTCAGACTTGGGTATTGCCAGTTAATCAATGATCAAGAATAACAATTAATCACCTGACCGAGCTTAAAATCTGAGTTTTAACTTTTTAATAGCTTCCCTACTTAATTACCTTGTAAAATGGTGGCCTCACCCAGGGTGGAAATGAGGAATTGGGGAGACTTTGGGCTTATAAAACTGCTCTGTCTGCAGCTGCCTCCATCAACCTCCTGGAAATTGCTTGGGTTCTGGCATCATTCCCTTTTTTTCTTACGAGGTGAGTAGTGGGCCTTGAACCAGGCAAGGCAGCTCAAGGTCAGCTTGGGGCAGTTGATTTCCACCCTTCCTCCTCATAATGCCCCCCTCTGATCCCCTTCTCCTGGGAGGCAGAATATTGGCTGTGTCCCATTTTTTTCTTGGAGACTTAAGGTCTGGAGAGAGACCCTGAGCTTGTGACCTGAACTGCAACTGAAAAGGAGCTGGGAAAGGTGTGGGAAGGCTCTCCTGTCTAGGCTCCACTCCCTACTCCTAAGTGAGCTCTACTGTAGACAGCCACTTAAAGAACCCTAAACTGGGGCAATAGGCAGGAAACTCACAGCAACATTGTGGTCACAGGCCTTGTGGACTCAGGGAAGTCCACCATCATGGGACCCCTCATCTACAAATGCTGGTGCATCAATAAAAGGATCATCCAGAAGTTTGAGAAGGAGGTGGCCTACATGAGGGGCCCTGCTAAATCAGGAGGTGGGGGCAGCAGCTTGAAATCTCATCCTGTGATGAATAAATTCAAAAATGACATGCTGACCTCGCTCAATATGCCTGCAATTTGACCCTGACTCTTTTTTTCATGTTAATCTTATTCCTAGCTAGATGTTGAAAGACTGTTTATGGTATTTGCTCCCAGGAAGGGCTGGCCACCCCTCCAGGAACTGGATATTCATAAACAGGAATACTCTCAAGGATAGTTTTGAGAGCAACTCCTTTCCCATAGATCACATATTTTTTGGTAAATTGCCTTCTTTGATAGAAGGAACTACTAAAAGCAGGTAGCCCCAAATTTATCTTTGGAGTCTCCACCAAAGTGCAGATGTGTAGCCCAGGATTTTCCCACTGGAACTCTGGAGGCTGAAAACCGGGACTCCCCAGCCCATGTGATCCAGGTGTAGATGGTTCCCCTGTTGGGGATGACTGATTGTGACAAGATTTGATACCGATTGAGACTTAAGTATGTTATTGTTATCTATTGGGACTTACTAACTCTAATTCTATTCTACTTGCTAATCTTGATCCTATTTTACTATTTTCATAATAAATACTTTTACTATATACTTACATATAAATCAAACTTGAGACTCTGTGTCATTTCTAAACCAATCTGAACCAAAACTAATTTAAGCTGCAGCAAATAAGGCCGATTAGCAATACACATCCTTAACCTCCCCTTCCAATCAGGCACTCATATGCTGGCATGGATGCAGGTGAAGGTGGTGGGGCAGAGGGGGAATGAGGGAGAAAGGGGACTCCATCCCAGGGCTATTGTACCGGTTGAGAAGCAATCTGTCCTTTCGAATTTGACTTTGTCTCTACCCACCCCTATTTCCTGCACAGATGGGGAAAGGCTCCTTCAAGTATGCCTGGGTCCTGGACAAGCTAAAGACAGAGCAGGAAAGGGACATCACCACTGACATTTCCCTGTGGAAATTCAAGGCTAGGAAATACTATATCATCATCATTGATGCCCTGGCCAAAGGAGCTTCAAGAACGTGATCATCAGCACCTCCCAGGTACTGTCATGCCTCCCTAGCCTCACTCACTTCCCATAAGCAGACCTGGCTCCCTATTCCAGCTCTCCCCAATAAGAGTCAAAGATCAAAAGAGCCCAAAGTGTTGATTGCAGCCCAAAAGCTGACTTTAAACTACACATTGAAGCATACTGTCCAAAATATGGAAAGTGGTACTTTCCTGTTGTACTCTGTTCTTGTCAAAACACCTCTGAGTATTGTAGTCAGTTCTGGATTACACATTTAAGAAAAGGTATCCTCTTACAGAGGAGGGGTACCAGGATGGAAAGAAGCTTTGAGAATTGGGTGAAGGAGCTGGGAATGTTTAGCCTAGAAATGAAAACAAAAACCAACGTAGTGTGCCTGGAAGAGACCTGAGGCCTGTTTTCAAGTATTTGAAGGGTTTTCATATGGAACAGGGATTAGATGTGTTCTGCTTGACTACAGAGAACATAACTAGTAGTGATAGGTAGACATTAACTGAGGCAGATTTAGACTTGGCATAAGAAAAAAATTTCCTAAAAATTAAGAACCATCTAAAAGTGAATTAGGCTGCTTGGGGAGGTGGTAGGTTCCTCATCCCTAAAGGATTTAGAGCTAGAAGGCACCTTGGAAGTCTTGGGTCCAAACTCCTCATTTTACAGATGAGGAAACTGACAAGTAATTTGTCCAGGATTGGCATAGTCAGTGTTTGAAGTGGGACCCAGGCCAGAATTGAACTCTCAGTTCCACAGTTCCTCTTTAAATGATTTGTTTAATGTGTTGTAGAGACGATTCTTGTTCCAGGTTAGGCTAGATTAGATAGAATCGTCCAGCTGGAGTAGGGCTCACCTATTCAGGGCTTTCTCAGTCAGCTGTCATGTGAAATATCTCTAGAATGGATTAGCACTCACCTGTCTCTTGGTCTCCTGGGCCATCACCAGTCTTCTTCATCTATGTCTTGCCACTGGACTCCAATGACACTGGAGGAGAGAGTGAGGCTGATGACTTTGCACAGCTCTGCCTCACTTAAATCCAATCCACTTGAGAATCATGACATCACCCTCCTGATGGCATTGGTCCTCTTCAAGAATGAAATATCAGCAACCACAATAACCTCTTGGTCTAGTGGAAATAGGAACTTCCTGGGAGATAAGTCAACCATTCCCTTTCCCTATCCAATGAGCCTTGCCTTGTAATAAAGATCAGAAAAAGAAGAAAAGCAATTCAGCAAAAGTTTAACCTGTCTGACAGCATAGGCATTTTTCCATACCCATAGTCTCCCACCTCTGCATTTGGAGGGAGGAGAATTCTCTCATTTCTTCTTGTTGCCAACCTTTGACTTCAATTTTCAGGGCCACCAAGGTCTTAAGTAGCAGTTTGGATTCCAGATCAGTTCCTGGTGCAGGTTTCAGTGTGAGTCCTATTCTCTTTCAGACTTCAGTCTACCTGTGATCCCTCAGCTTCACCTCATTTTTCCCTGTCCTGTACAGGTGGGCTGTATCAGGAGGAGTGGATGATGGGCAGACCGGGGAACATGCCCTGCTGGCCTGCATCCTGGGTGTGAAGCAGCTCATTATAGCCGTCAATAAAATGAATTTCACTGATCCCATTCCTACCCCCAATACAATGAAAAGCAATTTTTTGGAAATCACCAAGAAAGTAACCAATTATAGTAAGAAGACTGGCTATAATTCAGCTATGGCGTCTTTTGCATCCTCCTCAAGCTAGTATGAAGACAACAGCAAGGTGAGTGTCCTTGGAGTTGAGGTGGCATGTTAATGTAGCTGGTGGAAAGGGTCCCTGGGAAGTCAGCCTGATGAGGCTAAGGAATAAACGAACTCAGACTAGATCTGAGTTTGGAGACAAGAAATCTACCTTGTAAAGCTTTCAGAAACTTTAGAAAAGGCCTGCGACGCACAAATGGAGGTGGGTATTGCAGGGGGAAGGAATTATTAGTTCCAGTTCACCTTGGCTCATACTGCTATTCGTCCACACAGATGCCGTGGTTCATGGGGTGGAAGGTTGAAAGGAAGGAGGGCAACGCCAGTTGGGTCACTCTCCTTGAAGCCCTGGACTCTATCATCCCCAGCATCTCGATCTATCAGTAAACCTCTTTGGCTTCCTCTGCAGGATGTCTACAAGATCAGAGGTGAGTGGACAAGGAGGGAAGGAGAAAGTGGCACAAAGGTTCCCTTTGCCAGATGGGCAGGGCCTAGTAGAGAAGTGTTAGGAATTAGAAGGGAGAACTGCCTCATGCTCGAACATGGGAGCATCCTAAGAGGCAGGCAGCCTGGCACACTGACTAGTTATCACGACCTGGATCCAAGATCTCCTCTGTCACATACTGGCTCTGACTATGGGCACGTAACTTAACCTTTTAGTACCTCAGACAATAAATTGCAGGAGAATTGCTGGTCTGAATCAGGGGCATTTCCAATCCACAAATTACCCACATGGATAAAATCCCAAATCTGAACCAAATGAAAATACAAATTCAATAAGGAATAATTCAATAAAGGTGACGGCTGGTTCTGGAACACTTGTACCTCCAACCCCTTTTTTAAGGTAAGCTTTACCCTTTGACCTCTATTCAAGTTTGATTTCTTTAAAAAAGCCATAGTAGACTATTTCTTTAAGAAAGCCAGGCCACTCAGAAGAGTTTCTAGCATAAATCAGGTCAATACTCCCCCATTCCTAGTCTTCCACCACCCACGTCTCTAAACGTATTTAAAAATTAAAAAAAGGGCCTGCCTATTTTCCATATTCTTAAGGAGAGAAAATAGAAATTGCAATACTTGAAGTAGCAATTTTGTTCCCTTTGTTGAAGTCCCTCCCAACTGGGACTGTTTCCTATCACTGGATTACTCAGGCTGACCTTTTTTTGTCCCTTGAGGTACAGTACCATGCCTGTGGCATGGGATATCAGCTTCTTGAAGGCAGGCATGGTAGTAACAGTCGCCCCTAGCAATGTCACCATAGAGGCTGTGGAGATGCTTATAAGGCTGTGTCCAAGGCCCCACCTGGTGACATCAGTTTCAATGTAAAGAATGTGTATCTATTGTCAACCTGAATTTAAGAGAAAATAGCCGATATAGCAAAATGGAGGTCTTTAAGCAGGGCAAGTGAGTTGTAACTCGAGGTGGCAATATAGCAAGTGCTGGGGTACCCTAGGAGGAGGCTGGAAACAGGGTTTATATAAGGTACTAAGGCAAGGGGAATGACCAACCTGCAATTGGGAGGGGTTAAGTAGAGGGACTGGCCAGGGTGCAGGTGGGAGAGGTTTAGGCAGAGGGACTGGCCAGGGTACAGGTGGGAGAGATTGGGGGTGGTGTCTCACAGTTCCACAAAGTAAGTTGTTACGCATGACAAGCAGAAGTCCATAGAGAAAACTTGAGAATCTCTGGAGGGGGAGAGTTTGGGACATTTACGAAATTAGTCAGAGGCTGGGAGTGATAATGTCTGGTCAGTCTCAGGCAATTCATGGGTCTGGGAATGGGGGCAAGGTCAGATTCTGGGGCAATGTGATTGGAGACAGCAAGAATGAACCCCCTAGGGAGGCTGGCAACTTCCTGGCACAGGTGAAGCAAGGAGGGATGGAGGAAGCAAAATCAAGAGAACTCAGCAGCCATCTAGTTCAACCCATAGCTGAGCAAGGACTCTCCTTTAAAATCTAGCTGACAAGCAGTCATCCTGCCTTTGCACAGCTACCTTCAACGAGAGGGAAGCCAAGACCTCCTGTGATGTCCATTTCACTTTTGTATAGCTTTGGTTATTACATTTAGGGGTTGATGTTAGGAGAAAAAAATTAACTCCTTGTCCTTATAACTTCGACCCATGCCTTCTCATTCTGCCTTCTGGGGGTGAGCAGAATAAATTTAATCTCTTCCACATGCCAACTGTTCACATACTTGGAAGACAGAGTTGCCTTTTCTCCAGACTAACAGTCCTGAGTTCCCACCCGGTGGAGATAGGACTCTCTACAGAGGGGATAGTAGAAGACCAAGGAGGGGGCACCTTTCTCAGTTCAAGTCACAGGGGAATTATAACTCCAGAGAGAGAATAAGGGAGCCCACTTGTTGCCTATTGTGCTAGATTCTCTCATTGCCCTGGGAGAATGAAAGGAGCTTGCAAACCTTTCACCAAGGCCTGTGGCTCTCCACAATCTGATCCACCCTAGCTTTCTAGTCTGTCTTTCACTATTGCCTCTTGGAACCTGCCAAAGTGAACTTCTCATTTGTGCTGCTTGTGTAATGACAACTAGCATTTATACAGTACTTACTATGTGCCAGGCACTGGCAAAATACTTTACAAATGGCTCATTTGAGCTTCTCAACAGCCCTGGGAGGTAGATATTATTATTATCTTCACTTTATAGTGGAGGAACCTGGTGTTCAGTTACTTGCCCAATGTCCCACAGGAGGTAAGGTGGATTTGAACTCAGGTCTTCTTGACTTTAGTTCTAGTGTTCCATCCACCATGTACCTATCTCTTCTCTTAGGTACTGAGGGATTTAAAGATAAAAAAGATAGAATCCTTGTCTAGTCCACATTAATTGAACATTTACTGTAGCAGACACTAGTCATTTGTCAGACATTTCTAGCAGCATGGTATTCAGAAGAGTGGCCATGTATAATGAAGAAGACCATTTCCTGCTCTTCAATTTATTCTATTTTCTTTTCAAATAATCATTCTAAATTATCCAGGTCAGATTTAGGCTGACTGTGCTCCAGGACTGGGCAGCTAGGTGGCACAGTGGATAGAGTACTGAGCCTGGAATCAGGAAAACCTGAGTTCAGATCCAGCCTCAGACACTCATTAGCTGTGTGACTCTGGGCTAGTCACTTAACCCTGTTTGCCTCAATTTCCAAATTTGTAAAATGAGCTGGAGAAGGAAATAGCAAACCACTCCAGTATCTTTGCCAAGAAAACTCCAAATAGGGTCACAAAGAGTCAGACAAGACTGAAAATAACTGAACAACAAAAAAAGTTCTACAGGGCTAGACTACCTCATGGCCCATGTCTTGTAAATTTGCTGAGCAAAGAGAGAAGATTGACTGGCAGTTGGGCAAAAAGCTGGAGGACAGCCCCAAGGCTCTGAAGTCTTGAAGCATGAGCATCATGCAGGTGGGGGAGATTGGGTGGGGGGGTGTCTCACAGTTTCACAAAGTAAGTTGTTATGCATGACAAGCAAAAGTCCATAGAGAAAACTTGAGAATCTCTGGAAGGCTCATGATGCTGACATCATGCATATGATCCCTGGCAAACCTTTCTGTGTGAAAAGTTTCTCAGAGCACGCACCTCTAGGTAAATTAGACGAGATGGTGGACAGTCTCTTGGGTTTTTTTTTTTTCCTGGGAGATAGCATCCAACCGATACTCAAATATCTCCTGGTGGAACATTGTGTGTCCCCGACCAAGTAGAGAGTCAGCTATGAGAACATGGTGCTGATGAGTTTTATGGGATCAGAGGTAAGGTTCACTGTTTTCATGGTACAGTCATCATGAAAGTCTGTGCATTTGGTTATGAGTGATATGTGAATATGTCAGGCCCTGAGGAAAAAGAGTCAAACTTGGGAATGCTTTATACCTGTCACAGGAGTCTCCTAGGCTTTGAAGGTGAATGCTGACATGTAACCATATCTATAGGTAGCATTTCTCTTTCCTTTTCTGTGTTATTATAAAATCACTAATTTGCAGAATGACAGAGCTGGTACCCCTTATAATAAGAAACTCAGAATTCTTTTTTATACCCGAGACAAGTTAGCACATTTTCCTAACTTTGGAGACAATTCATCCCATGATGTTCTACATTCTAGACCATTTTGCTGTCTGGGACATGAGGCAGACAGTGGCAGTTGGTGTTATCAAGTCAGTGGACAAAAAGGTATCTACTTCAGTCAAAGTCACTGTCTGCAGTGAAGGCCAACAAGAAGTGAATACCACCCAACTCCATCCACTACCTACTTTTTGTGTGGGCTATTCCAGACTTGTGTGAATCTGGTATTTTTAATCTTGAATCTTAAGACTTTTTTTTTTTGCTACATGAAAGCTTGGTCAAGATGGCAGAAACTGGACACAAGGTCTTTTTGCATCTATCTACTGAATAAAAGGTTAAAAATCTACCTTTAATTATAAGTATAGCAACAGGAAAGCACCTTTACAGTTTACTGAGCATTTTTCATTCACTTTTTTGCCTCACTTAGTTTTTACAAATACAAAAATTCCCCAAATATTCCATGCATTTTTAGGAAATTTAAGTGACTTCCCCAAGGTCATTAACAGAATGTGACCCTGTTGACTGAAAACCAGGTTTTATCATTGTATGACACCATGCTGCCTCTTGGTTTAAAGCCAAGGAATAAAATAATGCAACAGCAATCAAGGACCAGGAGCTATCCCTAGTGCTGATTTACAGGAAATAACATTTAACTCTTGACCTATAGATAAGACACATGCTGTAAAGATCTTTGGGATTCTTTCTAATTTGATGTGAAAAATACTATGCTTTATATTTACAGACCCTACATTTTTTTTGAGAGAAGGGGAAGAGGGAGGGAATTTTTGAGGCTTAATGGAATGTAGTTGTTTTTGATTAATTACATTCACTTAATTATCCCAGGCCTTGGCCTGTCAGCATTGGCCTTCCCTCAAGCACATTTCTCCTTAGCAGCCACAGTCCCAGAACAAACCCAGAATTTACATTCCCCTAGGAATTCTCCTGAGTGGCCGATCAGAAGTGTCAGCTCAAAAGGCATCACCAAGATTACTTGTTTCCAGTGCTGAGTGACCTGTCAAATTCCAACTATTACCATAAAATCAGGTCCTGAGGGAAAAGGACTAAACTTGGGAACTTTTTATGCCTGTCACAGGAGTCACCAAAGCCACCAGGCTGTGGAGGTGAAGTGCTGACGTGTGACCACGTGCCACATTTCTGTCTCCTTTCCCAAATTGTATGAAATCATAAATTCACAGAAGGATAGAACTAGAAGGTACTTTATAATCAATCTAGCACTACCCCCTAAATTTGCAAATGAAGGAGGCTCTCAGTGATGCTAAAAAGACTGCAAGTGGCAGCACAGCCCATGTAAGACCCCTAGTCATCTGACTCAGTCCAGGTTCCATGATATGGCTTTGGACTATGATTTTAGTTCATATCTATATCTATGTAGGTATATAAATGCATATATCTATGCATATATATATATACATATACATACACTCACATACCCACATATATATATTTATATATATACTCACATAATTTATACCTGGGGAGGGGTCTTTTTGCAGTCATTTCCCCATTTCACAGAGGAGGAAGCTGAGACCCAGAGAGAGGTTCATTGACTTGCTAAATATATTACATATAGTGATAGAGTCCTGGTTTCAAACCCAGGTCTTCTGATGCCAAATCCAGTTTCTCAGATTTTTTTTTAACAGTCTGGAAATTTATTCCATTAATGAATATCTGGGTCAAGGCGTAATTGCCCTTTCAGGCCTTGATATTTTTCAGTTAGAACTCAGGCTCTTTGCCCTTGAACATGGTGGTCTGCTTTGCCAAACTGGATTGGCCTTGAGGCTGCACAAGTGAGTAGCTTGCCCTGATGGAACTGCTCCTCCAGAAGTGTGGTGATTTTGTCCCTGCTGCTTCAATCCAGTGAGGAGATCCTGTGCCCTAGGCCACCTGTGTTCAGGGTTGTGGCTACAGTTTCCAGTGTATCCAGACCTGCTGCCTCATCACTTCCCTATTACCACAGGACTTTGAGGTAGGTAGAGATGGGAAAATGGTATGGATGATGTCTTTTGACATATAATTTGGTGATGTATTTTGACGTATAGGTTGGATTTAAGTGAGGCGGAGTTGTGTGAAGTCATTGGCTTTGCTGTCTCTTTCCAGTCATGGGAGTCCAGTGGAGAGACAAAAGTCAAGATGACTGGTGATGGCTTGGGATGTAGTGGATAACCTTGGCATCTTTGATGTCTAACCAAGCTCTAAGCACTCCACAGCACCTTCTTCCACTGCCTTCATGCCAGGTGGAACAAATTGT